CAGCCCGAGCTCGCTCCTGCGCGCGCGCTCTCCCAGGCCCAAGCGAATAGTCCTCGCGCGAGCGGGACGCGGTGGTGGATGCAATTCCGCTCGCCCACCGCCGCCGGGAGCTCCCTGGCGCCGCAGGCAGCGTCCTCCTCCGGAGCAGCGGCGCCGGCACCTGGACAGCCTGGACCTTCGTGCCCTGCGCTCGGGGCCTCGCGCGGGGGGCGCCCCGGGACACCCCCTGCGGGCAGGGTGGAGGAGGAAGAAGAGGAGGAGGAAGACGTGGACCAGATCCCCTGCCCTACACGGAACACCTGGCTGCGCGCCTGCCACTTCTCTTACAACAGGAGGCGAGGAGAGCCTGGAAGAGCCATGGGGGGCTGCGAAGTCCGAGAATTTCTTTGGCAATTAGGTTTCTTCTTGCCGCTGCTGACAGTTTGGCCGGGAGACTGCAGCCACGTCTCCAACAACCAAGGTAAGGGACGGGGGCGGAGGAGCGGGAGGGGCCGGAGGAGGTGGGTGCTCTGAGCACCGGTGCACTGGTCGCCTCCTGCAGGTAACTTCGTCCCGGTATAGTTTCCCCAGGCTCGCTCCCAGTAAGGGTCCAGGATGTGCTCTCTCCAGAGCGCCCTGTCCACATGGCCTGGGACCGCGACCTGCCCGACGTCGGTCCCCACTGCTTCCGTTTGTCTTTACGGGGAGGCGTGAGCCTCAGCGGCAGCGGCTGAGGACCGCTCCCCAGGAGGCCAGCCTTCCTGGCACGCGCTTCATGGAGACTTCTGGTCTTGGTGGCCAGCCGCCCTGAGCTGGTCAGGTGGAGGGTCTCACATGCCTTCAGGAAAGCAAATTGCTTTCGCTCTGCCCTGGGACCAGATACTTGCCTTTGCCCCGGGTCACTCTGCTGCCCTCGCCTCTCTGCAGCCGGCCCCCTTGTCCCATCCAGACCGAGCGTAGTGGACTTGTTTGTAACCATTCCTAGGTCAGTGTGTTTGTGGTTTCTTTTTTTTTGTGCGCAAGGCGGGTAGAGGGAGAGAAGCGTTAAGTGTGAATATCCAAGTTGTGAATATCCTATTTCTAAAATCCAGCCGCTGGTAGATTTTTTTTTTTTGGAGGAAGACTGTTTTAGTAGGTAAAGTGGTAAAATAAAGGTGTGAATAGTGTGTGAAAAGTGAAAGTCAGGTTTACAGAATGAGAGGTAATTAGAATTTTTGCTTATTTCTTCAGTTCAAACTATTCTTACGAGACGTATCTTGGATCTGCTATGATTTTTAAAGATCTATAAAAATATCACCTGCATAATCTAAACCCTCTTTGACTAAGCAGTGAACAGCCGTAAAAGTTTTCCAGCATGTACCTGGCTGGATGCTCTCATTGGCAGTGTGATGACCACCAATATGTCACCTGTTATGTCACACTTGTCTAAAGACTTCAGTTATAAAATTTCAATTATAGTTATTATTTAACATATAAGGCCTTGGAATAATCTGCAGATATAAAAATGGAGCTCAGATGACAGAGTGTGTGCACATTTTTATGAGGGTGAGAAGGTTAAGAGAGAAGGCAAGTAAAATAACACAGCTTTCTTCTTGCCATAAACATATATGACCATTTACTTTTATTTAGGAATATTCAGAATCAATATTCAATTGTTTTCATTTATACAATTTGTATTTTTGGCATGTTTTCCTTAACATTTCTATTTTTGCAATGTGTGTTTGTTTTTTTACCTGCCAGATTGCAATGGCAAGTGCCTGTGTAAATTTGGAAATCGTACACCACCGTCATGTCTTTGAAGATGTATCACCTAAGTGCCCCCTATAGTTCCATATTCTCCTATTCTTCACATATAGCCCTCAATTGTTTTTAACAGGTATTGGCATTAAATATCAAAGGGGTAGTTAACTGAATCAACCTGTGTGAAAATAGATTGTTAAAAATAACAATTATTTACTTGGTCTTTTTACATTTTAAGGAGAGAAAAATAATTTTTAAGTATTATACCCTATGTTAGTATCTAGGGCTACTAAAAGAGATATATACTTTGAGAGTCAAGTTTATTAGAAGTATTTAAAAGTTATTTCCATGCAGTAGTTTCCCTCAGTCAACATGTGTTTATTCATTAAGTGCCTAAGAGACATCAGTGACCACCCTAAGCCTCAAGGATACAAAATACTAGTAAAACACACTCAGAATCTACAAATGACTAATGTGCCATTCTACCAAAATATGTCAAGTATTAAAGTATAACCTTTCAGATATTCATGTTAAGGGCATAGAAGAATTACTTGTTAACCTCTTGCAGTAATTTTTTTATATCTATTTTGATGACTTTCATATATGTTTAAAAGACATTTTACCTCCAATATTTACCAAGTATGTATAACTTATGGGTGTTTTTTTTTTATCAATTAGCTTTTAACTTAATGATAGTGAATGAATATTACTCAGTTTACCTATCTATTAAATAGGATCATTAAAGATAGTTTAGTGAAACTCTTAGTTTGAATTTCTGTTCATGTGCTAAAAACAGGCTATAAGGTTACATTTGGGTAAAATAGTAGCTTAAGGCCAAGTTGGGTGAAATTTAGAGTCTTCAAAAGAAGACTCAGGAGAAAGTGTGCTTAGATTTTTTCGTTAGACATAAATGGTCACTTATAAAATGCTTTTTACAACCTAAGTCACAGTGATTAGAAATTATGCCTTATAATACCTTTAAATAACTTTCAAATACTGAATTGATCACACTAATAGTTAATAAAATTTCAAACTTCAAAATTTTATTCTTGTGGACATTTGGGGCATATTTTTTTAATTTGTAGTTTCATAGTACAACTGTCCAATTTTTGAACCTTGAAAACATGGTGTATTGCAGAATCATAATATGTATAAAATATAGAAAGACGAATGTGAAATATAAATTAGATATGTAATATACCTAATAAATATCAGTAATGTGATTAATAGTTAATTTCAAGAAAATGTGTTCATTTTCCTAGTAACCTTTCATTTTAAGAGCTAATGGAATTCATGGTTTTATTTTAAATTTGTTACTTTATGAAGGGTGGAATTTTATTTTTATGTTACTTGGCCTTTTACTTAAGGATGTTAACGAAGTAAGTTTTTAAAAAATATTACTTACCTATTTTTACCAAATTATATAAAATTCTTCATGATTAAAATGAATGGATTCACCTTCTTCCCCCCCCCTCCTATTTTTCCATACTTAGACTGGGTAAAATAATGATAATGACAAAAAAGTGAACTACCTCATTTTTAACATGGTGCTTAACATGGTGCTAAGAGTAACTTGACTATAGGAAGCAATCTTTTCTCTTGTCTTTTAACTGGCTGTGAAGCTGTGCACTATAGAGACGAAATAAATCAATTTGACTCTGTCTTCCTATTACCCAACCTCCTTGAGTTGATCAGAAAGTAGAGTTGCTTCCTAGATCACTCATCTGTTTAGTAAGTGAAAACATGATTTGTGTTCATATTTCTCTTACTCTAATAATTTTCCCTGTATTTAAGACCTCAGTGTTTATTAGGTGTTGGCAATTTTATTTTAAAATAACACATTTTGTCTTCTCAGTATATACAAACTTTTATCTCTGTACTAACGCTTAGATGAATATAAAATACAGTTTTGTTTCGTACGTAAGTAACCATGTATATCAATTAAAGTGCTTAGTAGCCACCAGGGGTCCATTTATTCAAAGATTACTCTACCTTAGCAAATAGCACTGTATAGCCTGAAAGAGTTGATGCATCTCTCAGGGTGTGGCTCATCATCAATCAGATACTCAAGTAATTCATTAAATCAAAATATGGTTTGGATATAAGAATCTAGTGAGCTTCTTTTACTCCCAAGATTGTGTGAATTTATCATTTTTCCATCTGGGAATTAAGTGCCAAATGAAACAAGCAAAACAGTCGTCTGATTTGTTAGTTTCATTGAATTTATTACTTTGGATGAATTGAGTGTAAAATTCACTAAGTTGTATATAAATACAGGTGAACATGCCTAAGCAGAAAAATGCCTGCTTAATAAAAATTTGTAGCCTAAAATTAGTTAACTGCCATAAGTATTGTTCACAATTATAAAACTAAATATTGTTCTTACAGTAATAGAAAGGAAGGAGTTGAAATTTTTTTAGAAAGTTCAAGAGTGACCTTTACTGAAAACATTAAAAATTTGTTAAGTAAGGAAAACTACATGATTTACAAAGAATATTTCTAAAAGAATTTCACTTATAAAATTCACTTACAGGAATAAACTTCATAGCTGTAAAGGTACAGGAGATTTTAATCACATGCCTTCATGTGGTTAAAAACAACTTGGAATGCAATTTTGTTACACATTTACAAATTGAAATAATTGTGTAATTAGTTGTTATGATTAGTATTTGAAGTAGAAAGAGAAAATGTCATTAGTATTCATTGACCATCTAAGTGTTGTTTCCTCTGGGTTGGGGATAAGACTAAATCTAAAATCTTTTTCTTGCAAAAAAATTATACAATGTCCTTTAAGGATCTCTTCTTCAAGCTAGAAGTAACCTCAGTAGAACATATTTATTTGGATTTTCCTAGGAGGAAAAATGTATATCTACTGGTACAAAACAAAATTAATGTTTAAATTACATATTTTACTGTTTTTATGTTTTCAATCTTCATCTATAAAGAATTTTCTGTTACTTACATGTTAAAAAGTTAAACATTAAGAAAAATATTAGAGTAGAAATGTTTATTTCTTCAATAATCATTGCAAGTATAAACTACTTAAGTACAAAAGGAATCATAAATTTCTTGTATTTCCTTCTACCAATCCTCTTT